CACCCTCAACTTCTGCCCACCCCGCGGAGTCGGGAGGTTCGGCCTCCTTGGCCAAGGGAGAGGGGGCCCTGTGGAGGGCCAGGGCCTCCGGGCTGGGGGGAGGGCAGGAGGCCGGCCCAGACACTGCTCCTGCCCTTTTACGGTCTCGCAGTGAGTGAGGCAGCACTAACTCGGACATCCGCCATCCGCCTTCCACCGTGCCTGGGACCGGAAACGGGCGGGGCTGGGGGCGGTGGGAGAGAAGAGTCCCCCGGGAGAGAGTGAAGGAAGAGGGCCTGTCTCCTGCAGACGGCCCCTCTCGGGACGTTGCTCTACTGGGGAAAGGCTATGCAGGGAGGTGGAGGGTGCTGAGGGTGTCGCCTTGCTCCAGATCTTCCAACAATTCCTTTCACTACAGAATCCCCCGCCCCACAGCAGGGGGGGTTCTGTAAGGATTCTAAAAAGGAATGTCACCCTGATGTCAGAGGGCAGGGGTGTGGGGAATAAGGAGGAAGTGGAGGATGTGGGCATCAGGGGTTAATCTCAGCTGTCCCCAGGGGCCTCCCCCTCAGGCCGGGGGCTTTGGTGCAGGAAGTCCCAGAGAGTGGAGGAAGGGAGATAGTATTGTCAGACTCAGGCCCCAAGGGAGGGATTATGGGGGGTCCTGGGAGGGAAGAAGAGGGGCCCCAGGTCAGCACTGGCCCCGCCCTCAGGTAAGCCCAAGAGTTTGGGGGAGGCCCGGGTAATACAAAATCCAAAGTGCCTTGGGGCCCCTCACCCCAGGATTATATTACTGGGAAGAGAGCTGGAACTATCTGGTAAGCCTGGGTCCCTGGGGGAGAAGGCTGTGACCTTGAAGCCTCCTAGCGCCCCCTCCTCCAATCCCAAGGCTCGGAAGGCTGGCAGGGGGGCAGTGAGCCCAGGGGGAGGGGCTGTGGTGCCCAAAGCAGCCGGCCCCGCGCTCTGGCCCGCCCGCCACACCAGCTGTCTCGACAGGTGAGTCAGGAAGACAAAGGCCCCCCTCCCCCAGCTGCCGCGCCCCCTCTCTCCCCAGGGCCCGCAGGTGGGGGTGAGGGCCGCCCTTCTGGCCCCGGGCCGGGGAGCCGCCCTCGGCAAGGAGCGCTCGCTCGCTCGGTCCTAGGCACGGCTGGTTTGAGGCAGATCATGGATGAGGAGCGACGGGGGAGGGGAGTCCCAACCAGACCCTCGGGGCTGCGCTCGGTCCGTGGGTTATGGGTCAGTCCACAAACACCCTCCAACAGGAAGATTTAGGTGTCCCCCAAATTTAGGGGATCCAGAAGTAGCCCCGAAGTTCAGGAGCGCGGTCCCACTCGGGGAGACTTTCCAGCGCTTCAAAAGCGGGGACCCTGCAAATCCTGGGTCTGCAAATCCAACAACCCTGCTTCTCGGTTGTCTTTCTAGGTCCCAGGGTCTCCCAACCCGACCCCCCACAATCCCTCCAGACTTCGATTTGAGGATTCGGGAAGGTTTGACCTCAGTTTAAATTCTAGCATCCCTGCGAGCAGGATCTGCCAACTTGGAGGTGCTCTGAAAAAAGTCTTGAAAATTAGGGAGTCCTCGGGGCTCCCCCAAATCTGAGGACTCTCAGAAGGACCTCATCGGCACCGCCCTGAGCCTTAGGAGTCATGGAAAGGTGGTTGATAATGATAGTCCCTCTAAGGGGTCTTGGCCCAAAGCTGAGGCTCCCAAAGCCCTGTCCCCAAATTCCAGCGGGGCGACTGGGGGAGGGGGACAAAGGCGGGGCGGGGAGGCTGTGCAGCGGGGAAGGGTCCCGAGGCAGTTCCGGGCTCACCTCATGGTTGCTTGGCGGGCGGGCGGCGCGCCCACGGGCTGGCTGCTCCCGGGGCGCCCCTGGCGCGAGCTTCTGGGGTTCGGGCTGGCTCCAGGTTCTGCTCAGTCGCCCCCAGGGTCCCGCCCCATAGAGTCCGGCTTCCTGGGGGAACGTGGATCGGGCCGCGGCGGATCCTCGGGCTCCTCTTCCCGCCGATAGTTTGATGGGGGGGTCCCAGCGACAGAAAGGGGGTGCGGCGCTGCCTCCCGGCGCGCCCCCTCGGCCGGCGGCGGCTACAACGTTACTCTTACTACTGTACTTCTCTTCGCTACATTTCGTTCCAAAATTCCACTCCCCGCACCCACAATTCCCTGCGCCTTAAAGGGGCCGCGGAAACCACTAGGCGGAGGATGGAGGGCGCTTAAAAGGGCAACGCGGAACTCGCGACTTCCGCAATTTCCCTTTCCCCATCGTTATTGCACAGGGTTTGCTCCCCGGGCCTTTCGCCCAAGTTGGGGGACAGGCTTGGTCGGGGAGAAGGGAGCCTTCCTTGACTTCGAGTCCTCTCACTGGGACTTCTCGGGGGGGAATCTCGGCGGAGCCAGTTTCTCCCGTCCCACTCTCCCCGCGACTTCTTCATTTCTTAATGTTATGCTCAATTTTCGGAGGCAAGGAAGATCCTCTGGTTAGGGAAGGGGTCTGTTCAATTTTCTCCCTTAGAGCCCACTTTTGGAGTCCCCTGCCCCTCCAAGCTTCTCAGTCAGTTTCTGAGGGGTGACTAAGGGATGAGGCCCCTCGCCCGCCCAGGAGGGTGACGGCTGGCAAGGCCCCCGCCTCACTGCCCCCCGCCCGCCCAGGGAAGGTGAGAGGAAGTGGGCCGAGGGGGCGCGGCCGGCCGCTGACTCACCGCCGCAGGGTCGGGGGTGGGGTGGGGTGGGGGCGGGGGTAAAGGTGGGGATCGGCGGGGAGTGCGGAGGATGGGGGTGCTGCGCTGGCCCGGGTTCGGGATGGGACGCTAGGTTCCTTGTGGAGAAAGACCCCCTCGCCACACGCCCCGTTATGACTTAGTTTCGCCCACGGAGGACAAGCAGGATCATCCCAGCGACCGGATGGACACGGGGGCGAAGAAACCCTCCTAGGGGCCGACTCCCGGGAGCCCCCTCCTCTCGGCGCAGCCTTGGCGTGAGCCCATACTCCCTCCAGGGCTTCCGCAGCAGGCCCCGCCCCTAATGACGTCACGGGAGGCCACGCCCCTCCAGTAGAGCGCCACCTGGGCTGGATGAGGTGCTCCAGCCCTGGAGAACCACTGCTTCCCCTTTTACAAATCAGTAAACTGAGACTTGGAGACAAAGAATGAATCTGGCCCATGGGCCTCTTGCCCGAGTCCCCGGAACCCCGAAAGCCAAGGTATGGATTAAAACCAATTCTCTGGGCCCAGTTGAAGAAGTGCACTCCTTTTTCTGGACGCTCTCCTGCCTCCTTTCCCTTGGGGAACACCTCATCTTTCTAGGTCAAGCTCTGTTATTAATTCTTCTCCACAGAACCCCTAGCCCTCTCCCTTCCCTGCCGAACTCTGGGAGACCTTGACCCTATACCCCTAGGTTATGATTGTATTTCCTCTAGTCTGAGTTCTCTGGCAGCAAGCGCGGGCTTGATCCGTTTTGGCGCCTCACCCAATCCAACCAGGCCCAGAATAGCAGCTCAACATTTATCCAACTGAATGAGAACCCCTGTTCTGTGTGGCCTTGGCCAAGTCCTTTCTCCTCTGGGTCTCAGCTTTCACATCTATGCAATGGGAGGGCTGCTACTTCCAAGTGCCACCTGCACTATAATAGGAATCAGCACTTTCTCTATAAAAGTTCAAATAGTAAACACTTGAGGCATATTAGACAAAGGTCTGGTTCACAAATTTTTTCCTTTTTTTTATGGTGCTGGAGACAGAAAGAGGGGCTTCTAAAATGCTAGGCAAGTGTTGGATTACACCCCATCCCCAATATCTTTTTTTTTAACAAAATAAAACTTTGGAATTTCCCTTCTTTTAAAAACGTAAAAAGCATTCTTAGCTCTAATGCTGTGCCAAACAGATAGCATGACCCCTAGAAAACTCCTGGATGTGTACATGAGGAGTCTGATAGAGAATCTTTTGTCATCAGTGATTTGAGAGGAAGAAATTAGAAGCAGAATAAATGACCATTGAGAAGACAGGATAATGAAACCCTCCCATTTCTCTTGTTTGAGGTGCTAGGCAGCAGCTTAAAAGAATGAGGCGTGTAAATGACTTGGTGAAATCTTAATGTCACTGGGTGAATTAAGTGAGTTGCTGAATGACATAAAGGGAAGGAAAAATTAAGAACACCTAAGGTGACATATACATATTTGTACCTGCTGGGTAAAGGGTCCTGAAAACCTTACTCCAAACTCATTGCCATGGTTACTGATGGAATGAAGGGTGACACTGTAAAGAGTCCTATGGTCACAGAGGCCTGAAACCTCACCTAGAAAATGGCAATTCAGCTCTGCTCCTAGGCCTTCACACTGGCTGTTCCCTCTGCTGTGGGACACTCTTCTTCACATGGCTGGTTCCTGTGTCAAGTCTCTGCTCAGCTGTCCCCTCCTCAGAGACTTTACCTGCCCCTGTTGAAGCAGCTACCCTGGCTGGAAAATTGAATGGCTGAAGGATGAGGGGATGGAGAAAGCCTTTTCACTTCACCTTTGAACTTGAAACTAGATGAATTTATTACCCATTCAAAACTCAAATAATCGGCCAGGCATGGCAGTGCACACCCATATCCCAGCAGCTCAGGAGGCTGAGGCAGGAGGATTGTAAGTTCAAAGCCAGATTCAGCAACTGAGCGAAGCCCTAAGCAACTTAGCAAGACCCTGTCTCAAAAAAAAAAAAAAAAAAAAAAAAAAGCCTGGGGATGTGGCTCAGTGGCTAAGTACCCTTGGATTCTATCCCTGGTACCTCCTCCAATCTAAATGAATTAAATTAAAAAGTAAAATAAAGGCTGACCAAGCTGGCACACACCTGTAACCCCAGTGACTGGGCAGGCTGATGCTGGGAGACTGCAAGTCTGAGGCCAGCCTCAGCAATTTAGGGAGACCCTCTTTCAAAATAATAATAATAAAGACTGAGGATGTAGTTCCGTGATAAAGCACTCCTCAGTTCAGTCCCCAGTACCAAAAATAAATAAATAAATAAAATTTCAAAATCAAAATGGCTCCCCTCATCATTTTCTTACCATGTCTTGTTTTATTTTCCCTATGACACTTGTCGGTGTCTGAGATGGCCTTATCTCTTGGTTCCCTTGTTTTCTGTCTCCCCAAGTTTGGAGGTGAGCTTCATGAGCGCAAGGGTCTTGGTGACTGGCTGGTTCCTAACTGTGAACATGTCCTGGAACACAGCAGGTGTCCTCTACATATTTGCTGATGGGCAAATAATTTTTTTAATATGAAAATGATTTGGAATTACTAATGTAATTAAAATTTAGTGATTGAAACTTTATCCATCTCCCCTCAAAAACAGATGGAAAATAGGATGGAAAAAGAAGGTCATTGAACCTGGTGATCTCTCAGGATCTGTTCAGCTCTAAGTATTTCAAACATTTGGTTTTGGGTTATTTTTGGTCTAGAAGGTGGTGGAATTTCCCCTCATAAGTCAGTCTCTTCTGTGAGGGAGAAGTAGGAGAAGGGGAAATAAGTATTCTGGGGTTCCTCCATCAGCTTGCTTCCTTCCGCTGGTTCACATAGCTGGGGAAGGGGCAGTTTTTTTTTCTGAGTTCTGATGGGGTCCCAGTTGAGCTGAGGGTCCCCAAAGGTCAACTGCTGTCAGGCCTCCAGGTTCAAGGCAGAGTTCAAATGGATACTGCTGGGCTTCCCAGCCCCATCCTGCCCCTTCTGCAACACAAAGTGTGGGAGCAGGTAGATATCAATGCCATGCTGCTTCTCAGCATTTACTGTTTTCTGGAAATACCCACCCTATTTTCTTGTGAGGGTCCATCTCCCCCATCTCCACCCCACCCCCAAACTGGGGATCAAACCCAGGGCCTTGCACAAACTGGGCAAGTGCTCTAACTCAATCCATCAGGTTTAAGTGGAGTGGACCCCAACCCCAACTTCAGCTTATGACCCCAGTCTTGCCAACCGGAGACACCATGACTGGTCAGGCTGTGACCCAGTGTGGACAAGAGAACTAGTCTTGGGACCAGCTACAACTATAGGGGAATTGGCAAGTTCTCTCCACTGGGGACAGTTAGGACAGTGGCATCTGAGCCTGGAACTGCCACTCTCTGCTACCTCACGAGGTGACCCGGCATGGGAATGAAGCCAGTTCTGAGAAAATAAAATGAAGAGATGGTTCCTAATGACTTCATCTGACAACTGAAAGCAGCCATGCCTGAAGCCCCTGAACTCTTCAATTACATGGCCCAATAAATTCCCCGCTTTGCTTTCCCAGGGTGAATTGGGTTTCTGTCACTCACAACTCAAAGAATCTTGGCAAATACCTCCTCCTGCTGCTGTTGAAAAATTATCAACAACCATTGCTCATTCTCATAATAATAACCAAACTCCCTTCTCTGCCATGCCCTGGGGCAATCCCCCCTCAGATTTCCTCCCTTGATCCCCACCCCAAGCCTCAGTCCAATCCCCATGTCTCCAAATTCTCAGCTATCTGGGCAAGACCTGGGCCATCCTTAGATAACTTGGTGGTGTCTGAAGAGCATTTAAGCCTTGAAATTGGTCATTAGTATTCCCTGAAATTTCTGCCTTATTCCTGGAGGGAGAAGGTGGTGCTTAGGTTGATGGGGCTTTACAAGCACCACAGGAGCTACATTTCTTGGCAGGGAATCAGAGCTCTTCTCTGCATGGGCATCCCCCATTTACCCCCCTTCAGGGCCAGGAGTGAGCATGTGTTAATGTATCAGGCAAGTTCCTGCCCTCACTGGCTTCAAAATGCCCATCACCGCTGGGCACAGTGGTGCACACCTATAATCCCAGTGATTCGGGAGGCTGACTCAGGAGGTTCACAAGTTCAAAGCCAGCTGCAGCAACTTAGAGAGTCCCTGTCCCAAATTAATAGAAAGGACTGGGGATGTAGCTCATTGGTAAAGTGTCCCTGGGTGAAATCCCTAGTTCCAGCCAGGCATGGTGGTGCACATTTATAATCCCAATGGCTCAGGAGGCGGAGGCAGGGGGATCCTGAGTTCAAAGCCAGCCTCAGCAACTTAGTGAGGCCCTAAACAACTCAGGGAGACCTTGTCTTTAAATAAAATATTTAAAAAGAGCTAGGAATATGACTCAGTAGTTAAGTGCCTCTGGGTTTAATTCTTGGTAAAAAAAAAACCCAAAAAACAAAAAACCCTAGTACCTCCCCCAACAACAGCAACATCACTCAGACAGACACACACACACACACACACACAAATTCCCCATCACTAGGAAGTTTATGTGTTCCTGGATTATGTGTCCCCAATAAAAACCTTTAAGAACACGGGCTGGGGGGTGTAGCAGAGTGGTAGAGTGCTTGCTTAGCATGCAGAAGGCCTTGGGTTCAAGCCCCAGCATAATATAAATAAACAACCCAGAGGGTCCTTACCTCCCAACATTCTTCTGAGGCCTGGAAGAGCTGAGAATAAGCTTCAGCAATGACTGCAGCCCTGAAGAGCAGAGGGAGGCTCTCAGGAGATCCTCCTCTGATGACCCCTCCCCCACCCCACCCCACCCCACCCCAACTCACTTGCAGTGCAGTCCTCCCCCAGGAGGCAAATCCAGGATGTCCTCCGAGGCCAGAGTCCTGAAAACTGTGTTCAGACTGGGGGGCTTCTGAGCAGAGGCACACAGCTCTGAGAAGAGCTAAGGGTTATGGAGAGCCCCTGCTTGCCAATGCCCCTCCCATGGGGCGCTGGGTGCCTGCTCACCAGCTACTCTGCGGCCCAGGGCTGTATCCAGCGCATGCTCCCTCCTGATGGCCTCCTCACAAGCCCTGGGAGCCCCTGGGAAGCAAACCACGATGCAGGTCATGTTGTCCAGGCTGCCCTGGATAAAGTGGAGAAAAGGACACCGGTAGCATAGGGTTGAAGGCTACTGTGCAGAGTTTCAAGTCTTTAGAAGTATACCAACAACCCCAAAGTTGAAGTCCTCTGCAGTCTAGTTATGCCTATGCCTCTCAAGTCTCACCCATCTGCCAGTCAAAACCAAGCCTTCTCCCACTTACACCAATCTCTCCCTGACCTAGCCCCACCCTACTAAAAGAGAACCACACCTTTTATATGAAGTTCTTCAATCTTTTTTCCTTAATATTCATTTTTTTAGTTTTAGGTGGACACAATATCTTTATTTTATTCTTATGTGGTGCTGAGAATTGAACCCAGTGCCTCATGCATGCTAGGTGAGCATGCTACCACTTGAGCCACATCTCCAGCCCCACGTGATTCTTAACTCCCTCCCACTTACTTGTCTAGCACTACTCTCCCTTTGTGCCGTTTTTTGTTGTTTGTTTGTTTTTGTTGTTGTATTGGTACTGGGGATTAGAGGCGCCTAACCACTGAGCCACATCCCCAACCCTTTTTATTTTTTATTTAGAGACAGGGCTCAGTTGCTTAGGGCTGGATAAATTGCCGAGTCTGGCTTGGAACTTGTGATCCTTCTGCCTCAACTTCCTAAGCATCTGGGATTACAGGTTTGTGCCACCATCCCCGGCTCCCTTTGATTCTTAAACCATACCACAGGCTCTCCCCTCTCCGTATTTTGGCCCTGCGCATTCCAGCATACACACCCTCTAGTTGTTCCCCAACCCCTGGTCTATTAAAATCCCTTCTCCCACAAATGCTGCAGATCTCCCCCATGTTCCAAGCCTCAGTGATACTATGCGCTGCCCCCAGGACCTTGCACAGACACGTGTCCAACAGCTGCGCGCAGAGAAGCTCTGGGGCCAGGTCCAAACGGAGGCGCGATGCCACCAGTCCCACCAGGGCAGCACCAGACATAACGTCCCACATGCCGTCAGAAGCCAGGAGCACGAATTCGTCCTCAGTCTGGCGTGCCAGGGCAGCCACTTCAGGCTCCGCGGAAATTAGCTGCAGTTCGGGGGGCCTCCCCGGAGCCGCTTTGTAAGCAAAATCGCCTAGTGCTCGAGACACTGCCAGAGAGCCCTCGACGCGACGGCGACGGATGGTGCCGCCCGCGTTGTAGATGGGCTCGCGTTCCCGCGGCCGGAGGGGCCGGTGGTCTTGGGTGCTGAAGGCCACGGCGCCGGCGCGGCTCAGCACCGCGCGCGAGTCACCGCAGTGCGCCAGGTATAGAAAGCGCGGGGAGACCAGCAACACGACCGCAGTGGAGCCGCCGGGTTCGCCACGGGGCCAGAGCGAGCGGAGCCGCTCGTCGGCATTCAAGAAGGCTCGGCGCAGCGCCTGGCTCACGCCCTCGGGTTCGCTAGGCGCTGGGCCTAGCTCCTGGAGCACGTGGCCTGGCAGGTGGCGCGCGCCGAAGCGGGCAACTCGCGCCCCTCCGTGGCCGTCGAGGATAGCGAAGAAAGCCCAGCCAGGCGGCAGCCCAGGTAAGGAGAGCCAAGCGCAGTGCGCGTCCTCCATAGGCGTTCGCCAACCCTGCGCTGCGCTGGCTCCGAAGCGCAGGCCGGACGATGCTGCCACCCCCCCGTGTGGCCTCTGGGAGCATCGCGGCACAGCCAGGAGAGACTGAGGCCCTTGGGCGCCAGCTTCCTCTTCCTTCTCTGCCTCTTCATCCTTGCGAGCCGGCCAGAGGAGACACTCCAGCAGACCTGCAAGGGCCGCCATCTCTTATCAGGAAGGCTTCACCCTCAGCACCTGACCCGCCCCCCCCAACACACTGTTAATCCCTCGCTGTGAGATTTTAGACCAAGTAAATCTCTTTCCTACCCCTGGACCTGCACCCAAGCCGGATCACTAAAAGAAATCCCATTCCTGGGACTACTTTCTCCCGCACCTCCAAAGTGGGGTTTGGGCTCTGGATCCGAAAAAAAAAAAATGATAGCAGCACACTATTACACAGCACCTGCCATATTCGTTACACTATTATACATCAAGAAGAGGAAACTGAATCAGAAAATGTTCATCGGTGTCACAGAGAAATTAGCTCTAGAATCTGTGTTTTCGTGGGTCAAATCCCAGCCCGGTTCAATCCAAGCTCCGCCCACCTCAGTGGTCCCGCCTCCAGCAAAACCTTTAAGTACAATATTTTACGGACTGCTTCCCTTCTGGACCCTTTTCCAGGGGTCCAGTTGCTTTAACTTCCAGGTCCTGCCATCAATTCAAGCCCACAGCCTGGGTCTTCCAATTTTCGCAGTCCTGCCCCAAGACCTGTGCACAGTTCAATCCCCAGTACTGGAAGGAAAAAAGAGAGAGAGAGAAATTAATTTTCGCAGTCCTGGCATGGCCTCTAGCTCCTCAACTTCAGCCCACCCCTAAATTCCCGCTGGTCGAAACTGGCCCCTTCTCTCCAGGATACGGCCACTCTCTCGTGCCTAGTCCCTCTAGGCCACGCCTCTAGCTGTGACCCCGCCCAATTTTTTGAATAATCCTACAGGCTGGTGAGCTCCACCCGTGGCCTCGAAAGTTTCAGAGGACTTTCTTCCCGCCCTCTTTCTCATTCCCTCTGCAAACCTAGGTTCGGAGCATATCTCCGAGCGCTAGATTCTTTCTTCCCACTCCTCAGTGCCACCTCTAGACCCGCTCCAGCCAACTCTGGGATCCACGCCCCGTCCTTTTCGCTTGAGCATTCTTTCGGGCCCCTCACCCTATCCCAGGCTCCGTCCTCTTCCCCCGAAGGCTGAGCCCACTTCCACATAGGCCCCGCCCCTTAGGCCTGCCATCGAACCTCCTAAGCCCGCCCTCTAGTAAAGAGGCCTCGCCCTCTCGCGCGTTCGTCGGTGTCTCCCCGCCCCCTCGCCCTCCCTCCGGTTCCGCCCCGCGGGTCCTCTGGCCCCGCCCCCGGTCCCGCGCTGCAGTGCCTTCCCCGCCGCGGCTCCGCCCGCCCTCGCCAAGCCGAGCAGAGGGCGGCGGCGGCGGCGGCTGCTGGAGCAGCCCGGGAGGAGGAGGCGGCGAGGATGGCGGCGGTGGCGTGGGCGCGGCGGAGATGAGCGCCCGCGGCCCCGGGCCCAGGGCGGCGCGGCCGGAGTGGGCTGGGGTCCCGATGCAGGCCCGAGGGGGGCCATGGGGCAGGTCCTGCCGGTCTTCGCCCACTGCAGTGAGTAGGGAGGCTGTGGCCTGTTGTGGGTCTCAGAGGCCCGAGTGGGGTCCTCCTGATATCCCCTGGGCGCTGAGCCGCAGGAGAGCCGGGATGGAGGGAGGAGACGAAGGAGACAAAGGAAGCTCTCCCCTCCCCCCCTGCGCTCTGGCAGCCGCGGGGGCAGCCTGACCTGGAGAACCCGGGTGAAACCGGGAGGAGATGGGGACAGTGGACCCCGGCGCGCAGGGCGCTGGGATGTGTCGCCCCGCCCAACCTCGGGATGAGGAGGTGCGCGGGGAGCTGTCCCCGGGCTCTGGTGCTGGCCGCAGCTGGCGGGGAGGGGGTTGAATAGAGGGGCAGAGCCAGGATGGAGAAGAGAGGTATGACTTCCCATTACCCACCCTCTTAGTCTACCCGAGAAGCAGCCCTAATCTAGCCCAAATTGTCCAATCCCCTGTCTCTGGAAAAGCCATCCCTGGGTTAGTGCTAGGACTCTTGGGTGTTCAGCAGGCTTTTCCACTCAATTAGTGGTAATCCTGGGGAAGACCCACTCAGCTCCAGGCCTCTGATTCTCCAGCCGAAGTCTCAGGGTGGGGGCAGGGGGCGTCCTGTTTCAATTTCCAAACCTTATGTGCAGACATCACCTGTGTGCAGAGCCCCAACCGAGTTCTTAGGGGCTGGATTCCCAGTTGAAAATGCTTGGTCTGATCTTCCTGATCTCTAAGTCCAGAGGTCTAGCAGTCCGTGTTTACCGTCCTCTGTCCCACACAGAGAGGTTCTGACAGCTGGGGATGGCAACATTCTCAGATCTAGCCACTTGCATGTCTGGAGTGTCCAGATGCCCCAATTCTTATAAAGTGAGTGCCTGCTGTTTGGTCTGTTCCCCACCCCACCCCTGTTAGTCTTCCTGTCATCTCCTGCCCTTTCTCCCCCTCACTTTGCTCCAATTACTCTGCTCCACTCACCATATATGCTAAGCATAGCGCCTGCCTCAGGGACTTTGCACTAGCTTTCCCCTCTGCCTGGAAAGCTCTTCCTAGAGGTCCTCATGGCTTCCTTACTTCATTCAGGCCTCTGTTCAAATATCATCTTAACAGAGAAGGTTTCGGGACCATCTTATCTGGTACCACCATCTTATTCAGCACCACCTCTCCTTCTCTCCTATTACCCTGATCATTTTTCTTCACACACTTATTAAGACCCTATGTCATATATTTACTTATGTATTGTCTGCCTCTCCCATAGGATGTAATCTCTATGAGGGCAGGACTTTTGTTTTGCTCATAGGTGTATTCCCAGGGCCTGGAAGAGTGCCTGGCACATAGTAGGCACTCAGTAAATGGTTGTTTAAAGAGTACATTGAAACCTCCCAAGATCCTTAAGTTGAAGATTCTTAAGATTAAGATTCCTGGATAGGAACTTACTTGCTAGACTCTGAGCCTCTGATAGCAGTGATGCTAAGATTTTGCAGTCTATATGCAGAATGTCCTGATCCTTGTGGCTCAAAATATTCTAAGATTCCTTAATTCAGATCATCCTAGATTCCAGGACTGGCACTTCTGTGATTCAGAGTTTATAAGCTTCTTAAGAGTCTTGATTTCTTTTCTTCTTGCAGAAGAAGCTCCATCTACAGCCTCTTCTACCCCTGATTCCACAGAAGGTAAGTGGATGGGGGGATATGAGGGTGGGAACTGAAAGGGGCACCTGTGTAGGTCAGGATTCTGCTCACAGCCCTTCTTTGCCAAACAGGAGGAAACGACGACTCAGATTTTCGGGAGCTGCACACAGCCCGGGAATTCTCAGAGGAGGAGGAGGAGGAGACCACGTCCCAAGACTGGGGTACCCCCCGGGAGCTGACCTTCTCCTACATCGCCTTCGATGGTGTGGTGGGCTCTGGGGGCCGTAGAGATTCAGCTGCCCGCCGCCCGCGGCCTCAGGGCCGTTCAGTCTCAGAACCCCGAGACCTGCCCCCTCAGCCTGGCTTAGGAGACAGCTTGGAGAGCATCCCCAGCCTGAGCCAGTCCCCAGAGCCTGGACGCCGGGGTGATCCTGACACCGTACCTCCTGCTGGACGCCCTCTGGAGGACCTGAGGCTCCGGCTGGACCAGCTGGGCTGGGCTGCCAGGGGAGTGGGATCTGGGGAGGACTCAGCCACCAGCAGCTCCACCCCTCTGGAAGACGAAGAACCTGATGGATTGGAGGAGGGAGCGGCTAAGGAAGGTGAGATGTCCAAGTTGGACCTAAGCCAAGGGGGTGGGTGGTCTCTTGGGGCACCTCCAAGGAGAATACTCACGGCCTTCTCTCTCTACTGCGCCAGAACTGGACCTACAACGCGGATTTTCTCAGTCCTCGCCACCTGAGGTCTTGACCCCCCAGCCCAGCCCCAGCTGTAGGACACCTGAGGCTGGCACTCCATCCCAACCAGGATCCCCAGATTCCAACTCTGGGCCTGATGAGCCCTCGCTGGCCAAGGAAGAGGAGCCATGGGGACCACTGGAGCTGGAGCCAGTCTTGGGACAGTGTCTCCATAGCAGGAATCAGTCAGAATTCACACTGCAGCCACACATTCTAGGTAAGCAGTGTGTGAGCAGATGCTCCCTTGGACTACAGCAGGCTAAATGTGGGAGGGCTGGAAGTTAAAGGGGCCAACCTGGCAAAGGAACACAGGACAGTGGGGAAATTAGCATAATTTCCCCTTAGCTGAGATTACCATTGGCTCCTTTTATGTAGTCACCCTCCCATTCCAGAAGTTAGCCCTCTTTCAAGCATTAGGACTGACTGCTAAAAATGAATCCTTCCACTTTTGGACTCCCTACATGCCGATTGTGGACATGCCAAATCTCTGAAAATATAGGCTTTCTCCTGTATGCAATTTTAGGATTTTTTTTTTTTTTCAAACCAGGGATGAACCCAGCGGTGCTTAACACTGAGCCACATCCCCAGCCCGTTTAATTTTTTATTTTGAAACAGGGTATTGCCGAGTTGCTCAGGGATTTGCTAAAGTACTGAGGCTGACTTTGAACTTGTGATCCTCCTGCCTCAGCCTCCCAAACTGCTGAGATTACAGGCAGGTGCCACCGCGCCCGGCTATGATATTTTTATAAGTAAATTCTACTCCTTTTAAAATTTTTATCTTCCCTGACCACGTCTATTGACCAATTGTAAATAGACCCAGCCTTACTTTTAAACGTACTCTGCCTCCAGGAACCGCCATAGGTGGGTTGTAGACATCACTGTTCTCGGCTGTTTACAAAGAGTTCCAATTTGGGAATTGGCCACACCTCTATGGACAGCCATTGGCTGCGTACACACGGGCTCCGCCCCTCTACTCCCTCCCTGCGGGTTCCACAAGTGGGCAAAATTTCTGAGAAGCAGTGGTGTCTGCAGCCTCTCCCTTAGAGTCAAGATGGGGAGTAAAGGTGGGTTTATGGGGCAGCCTGGGACTGGGGTTGGGGGACAGCCGAAAGGGTACAGATGTGCCCTGATCTCGCCCCACTCTGGGGCAAGTTTCCCATTGGTCGGGGATTCCCCGGCACTGCAAGCTGGGGCTGGGGGGAGTCAGGGGGAGTCTAGGGAGGGCTTGGAGGGCTTGTGGGGTCCCCCTCTCCTCCAAGCCAGGGCTTTGAGGCTAGGGAGCAACAAGGTCCCCTCCCCCA